TCTTAGCTGTGGAGGGCAGTGTCACTGGCCCTCATATGTGGGATCCGAACCGGGGCCCTCTGGCACCCCAAGCCAGTTCTTAACCATCGCGCCACTCGGCCGGCCCTAGGGAAACTCTTCTTAAAACTACTTTGATTGGAGTCCAGATACTGTGAAGTTAGATACTAACTTGTAAAAGGTTGATAGGTTGCAAGTGCTTTCTGTCCAGTGGAAAAGAGTACCTCAAATGGTTGGAGTTGTGTCACCCTGTAGGATTCTATATAGGCAGGACACTGAGACGCCTGGGCCCGCCCACTGCCCTCTAGGGCACTAATGTGACTTTGCGTTTTTAATGTTCGTTTTCACCATTTCTATTGTTCCTTCTCTCTCATATTAGCGGAACCACCACTGTCATCCTCCTAGTTCCCTTCATGAGGTAAATTAATCTTTGAGTCGTGCTCACTGAGTTGGTTTTTAAATTTTTTTGTTTTTTAGATTTTATTGGGGAATTGGGGCAGGGGAACAGCCAAGTTGTCCTTCATTCTTAGTTGTGGAGGGCGCAGCTAGCTCAGCTCCAAGTCCAGTTGCCATCTGGCCGCCCGTTGGCAGCTCGCAGCTACTCAGCCAAGTTCAATCTTAGTTGCGGGTGGGTGTAGCCCACCATCCCATGTGGGAGTCGAACCCGCAACCCTGTTGCTCAGAGTTCAATCTCTTAACCAACTGAGCCACTTGAGCAGCCCTGTTTTCAAATTTTTTGAAAATTATATGTTGACAATCTGAAGGGAACCAGTTCTCCAGGATGGGGGTGGGAGGGGGACAGACAGGGAGAAAGAGCCAGGAAAGGAAGGAGGTAGGAAGGATGATGAAAAGAAAGAAAGTAGGCGGCGGGAAACATGCAAAAGAAATTAAGCGGCGAGAAAGCCAGCCTTAGGTAGAGACAGCCTCGGGCGCCCCCGCATGGACTTAGCGCTTGGCGGCCTCGTCGCCTAACTATACTTCCCGACAGCCCAGATCGCCAAGAGCGCCGTCGGAGGCGTGGCCCACACAGTCTCCTCCAATCCCTGCCGTTGCCGGCAGCCTTAGCCTCCGCTAAGATGGAGGCTGGGCTCGGAGGTCTCCCGGAAGCGGTGCTGTGAGACAAGACATGGGGAAAGGCCACAGCCCCACTGGCACAGCTGAAGCATCCGGCCCACGTTGCGGTCCAGAGGTGAGGGCGATCGCCCTGCGCAGGCCCGGCTCAGGGGGTGGCCTTTCTCATAGCTCGGACCAGGGGGAGGGGGAAACGGAGAGGCCACAGCTGCGCCCAGGGTCCCTCGCCAATGGATCAATCAGAGCCTTCAGCAGCCCCAGGGCCTTTTGGGAAATGTAGTTTCAAGAGACAAGCCCTGGGCCGGCCGAGTGGCGCGATGGTTAAGAACTCGCTTGGGATGCCAGAGGGCCCCGGTT